CGATTTTCCGGCGAAAAAATTATTGAAAATTGAAGAGGAAGGTTGAGAGAGAAACAAGGTATATTTTATTTGAAGCAAAACCCTCACATTTTCAAGATTTTTGGAAAGGAAAAATTTATGGTTTTTCCAAAAAAAAGTGTTTTTCTTCCAAGATTTTTTTACGAAATTAATAGAGAAGGTTTATGGAGGTGTTTTAATAGTAGAAACGAAGTTTTCTTCAAAAATTTTTAGAATTGAAAATTAGGATTTTTATCAAAAATTGAAATTTTTTAAGGCGCTTTTACAAAAATGATTTCTATGGGACTTAGGAATGTTTCTAAATCAAAATTTTTAATTTTCTTAAGAAATTGCATTTTTCATAATTTTCTAATTAAATAAATCCGAAAATAAATAAAATAATTATCAAAATATGTTTAGGAAAAATTTGGCGTATTAGCTTGATGGAATTAAGGATTTAGAGTTTTCAAAAATTAAAGATTTTAATAAATCCAAAAATTAAGATTAAATTATTTTAATTTCATTAAGTGTCGTTAGAAACAAATAATGAGAAACGAAGAGTTTAGGTAATTTGGAATTTGATAAAACATTAAGGAAGATTTATTCTGACATGACTTTTTATGTGATTTTTAAGTTATGATCTTTAAGAAGAACGAAGCATGTCAAAGCGACACTTTGAGGAAGTACTATGTTTGTGTTAAAGTAGTTACTCATATTTATCATAAAAATTTCATGTATTGTTTTGCCTTCATTTTTATTTAATTACAAATGTTTAAAATTTTAACGTTCAGATGGTTTATGAATTCGGTCTTTCAAATGGCTTGTTAGTATAATGTTTTTATATTGCAATAGATTAGTAAACTACAAGTTATTCGTGGTTTTCATATTTTGAGCAAATGACTTATGAAATATGATTGTTTTTTTTTAACATATGATTGACTGATAAATAAATATGAAACTGTGCATGTTGATGCGAAATGCCCAAAATGGTAAAGGGGCTCAACATAGCCAAATGGTAAAGGAGGCTCATCAGAGCCAATGGTAAATGAATGGCCAAATGATATGAAAATATGTACCTGATCAATACAAAAATTTATGGGCACCTCCGAGACAGGTGATATAATAAAATATTATGCAAAATTAAGGTTCATTTATGTTTTTTAAGCAAATAAAAGTTTATGTTTGAGAAAATATTATATGAAAGGTTTATGATTGAGGAAAATTTATGAAAAGATTTTTTATACAGAAATGTTATGAACTTGTGATATTGACCGTCGTTTAAAGTTTCTTATGAAAAAGATATTTTATTTTGATTTTATGTAAATTTTTATGAGAAATATGAATTACTTGCTGAGCGAGTAAGCTCACCCCTGCATGTGAAAATCCTTTTCGGGAGAATCATCTAAAAAGTGATGATAACGAGACGACAATACACATACCATCGTAGAGGATCTCAGGAAGAAAGGTTTTATATTTTTTGTTATGTGTATCGAGTCAGTGGATTGCAATTAAGGAGTCTGTTGGAGTTTATATTGTGTTTATGTCTATGTTTTTAGTAGTTGTGATTTGAAGATATTATTGGAAACTTTCAGTTTGTTGGATTAGTGGCTTTTTTATGTCGTTTTGGAATGAAATTTATTTTATGTTAATGTTGGATAAATATAAAAATTTTACTGCTTATCGTACGACTATCTGTTCCCGCCCTGTTAATTCAAGCTAGCCGGGCCAGATCGTGACAATTAAAAGGGTCAATCTCAATATTCAATTATGCATACAAGTTATCTGTTTTGGATTGAAGCTAAGTTCAATGTTAACATATTTGTTTGCATATGGTTGCCTAATACTTATGTTTTATATGATTATTGTGAATCTTGTTCTTAATTGGGTTAACCTTTAAATGTCTTACAATATGTCACCCAATTTGCTAAGACTTTGTTTTTTTCCATTCCATTAGTTTTTTTAAAAGTAAAATGAGTTCTAGTGGTGATGGGTTTGGTAGTGGCGATGGTTCAACAGAGCCTTCTATAGAAGCTAATAAGCCCTTATGGATTCATATTATAAAGTTAGGAAAAACTTTTGAAGGTGGAGGAAATGTGTCATTCAAATATAATTACTATAGTGTCACCTACAAAGGATCATATTCTAGGGTGAAAACACATCTACTTAATATTGGTGGCCATAAAATTAAAATGTCCTAAGATTATTATTTCGTAGTTGATAGAATAGAATAGACAGATTGATGAAGATGAATCAAGTATCAAAATAGCACTTCCCAAAGAGGTGCATTTGCCATCTACTCATAGTTTATTCCACACATCTTCCTCCTATGTTAAAGTTGATCATGTTGGTTCATTTAGGAGTGAAGGATATGAATCTAAGAAAAGAAAAATAGTTGTTATTAGTTCTTTAGAGAAGACTTTTAATATGCAGATGAAAGAGCAACTTTATGGTGAAATTGCAAGGATATTTTTTCAACTGGACTTCCTTTCAACCATGCAAGGAATCCTTATTATAAGAATACATTCACTTTTGCATAAAATAATAACCTTGCAACTTATGCTCCACTTGGATACAATGCAATAAGATCAAAATTATTGAAGAGGGAAAGTGTAAATAATGAGACATTACTTGAACCTACAATCAAAATTATTGAAGAGGGAGAGACCAAATATTGAGACATTACTTGAACCTATAAAAGGAGTGTGGAAATAAAAGGGGTCAGTTTGGTGCATAATGATTGGACTGGTCCTCAAAGAAGATCACTCATTAATTTTATGGCTGTTATAGAGAATCACCCAATGTTCATTAAAGCTGTGAATTGTAAAAGGAAATACAAGGATAAATATTTGATTCCCTATTTGATTAAAGATGTGATAGTGATGAACATTGGGTAATTAATTAATAATTTTACTTTCTTTGTATTATGTGAAGATATTCAAGTAAAAGATAGCTTCAAGAAACAAAAAGATTTAAAAATTTCAAATATGAGAAAGATATGTTTGAAATGTTATTTCCTAAATGAGAAGAGAAAAATGATTAATATGGAACTTACAAAGTTCTTTGGATATTTAGAAGATTTTGGCGATCAAGAATCTTTAGTTGATAGATGGAGAATGGATATAAATATGTGGTGGTTGATCCATGGAGCTTTAGCACCGCTACTTCAAACAATAGCAATAAAATTTCTTTGTCAAGTTTCATCCTCCTCTTGTTGTAAGAAAAATTGGAGCACATACTCATTAATTCAATAAAGAGCAACAAAATTACTCTACAACGGGCTAGAGATATAGTTTATGTACATACAAATCTTCGTCTTCTATCAAGAAATATCTCACTTTATATGACAGGTGATAACAAGATGTGGGTTGTTACTGAAAACGGGTTCAAGTCCCTTGATGATAAGGGAATATTGGAGAATGCAAATCTTTCTCTTGATGAACCAGAGTTGGAAGCAATGATATTCAATGATGATGATATTGAAACCCAAAGACAAACCTCCGAAGCTAATTATATTATTCCCTCTACTAAGTAGTTAAGCTTGATGTTGTATTAAATGGGTTTTTATATATATTTTTGTGGTTGTTCTAAATATTTTATATTGTAAGCTAGACAAGTAATCATGAGATTGATTTATTATTGTTTGTCATTTCTAATATGATGCTATATTAATTTCTATACACCATATAAAAAAAAAATGCAATGACGTGTCCGCGCTAGCATGTCCTATATTTTCAAAAAAAAAAAAGTCATGTCTATGTCGGGTTCGTGTCGTCGTGTCCGTGTCCGTATCCGAGCCCGTCTCACTGTTGTGTTCGTGTATCACTGGGTTCCATGAACTAATATGCTTTCTTTACAAATGAAGAGAACGACTAGATGCACTTGCATAAGAATTACGTCCCAACTAACTAAAAAAATTATTCTTAGCCATATAATCGAAGTTTCTGCTTTTAGTTGTCTAATTCAAACTTTGAAGTTCTTTAATCACACGGATGTGCTCATGTTACAGTCACAGAAAATTATTTACACAGTTTCCAAGATACATCAGATGTTTGTCTTCAAGATAGTTGAATAAACAGTCAATGGTTGTGCTTAAAAGAGAAAGAAAACGATGCCTTTGTACTTGCAATATTCAAGTAAAACTTGCAAACAAGAACTTACCATTGAAAGGAGAATATCTGAGTATAATTTGTTTCAATCCTGTATAACATATTCCTGAAGGGCGTACAGAATGAAGAGGTTCTACCTATGTGAGATCTCTAGAGGCATTAACGTAAGAAAACTTGACTTAGCGGAAAAGGTTTTGTTATTTGAACTCTTAACCATAAAATGATAAAGAACTTGACTTGACCAAACTGATGCCCATGCCCATTCACTCCATTGCATATATACTAAAAAGAGTAAAATTTAAAGTTAATTCACAACACAAGGATATTAACTAGCCCAAGTTGGATGCAAACCGTAGTAAAGGATGAGCTCATTTTATTTCATATCACAGAAGAACTAATCCCTCAACGCTGCTTTTTGCCCATTTGGTTGTTAGTTGATAGAAAACATGATATAAAAATTCATTATTTTGTTTCAGTCATTTTATATGTGAACTCAAAAACATTACATTTGAGAAGGTTTTAAAAGGGTTTTGTGAAATGTACGCTTAATGTTGATTTCTAGCTAAAACCAACTAAATAATGGGTATATAAAATTTTATAATTTTCAAACGCCTATTTTCCAACTTAAAGCAACCAAATGATACCTTGGCTCAAAAGAATCTTCACTGAGAGTTTATTTGAGTTGGCTGTAGCTTTTTGTAAATGTAGTAATAAAAATGTTGTAGGAAAGTAACTTTTTCAAAAGCTACTGTAAAAAAAGCTCCCTAACACAAATTTTTTGAAAGCAGCGAAAAAGTGATAACCAAATAGAATTGTGGTTGAAGTCTAAAAAGTAAAGTAGTAAAAAAAGTTGTCCCAAACAAAACCTAAGTTGATAACAAATGCTAGAAGACATACCTCAGGAATTTTTATATTGCATTGTGAAAGCAAATCAGAAGCATTCCGTATGACATCTAGAAAAGAACCATCTGGAGTCTAGTTGATAAAGAAAAGAACTATGTTATTACAAAACTAATCAAAAAGTAGAACAAAATAAACGTGAATCTAAGTAAAACGGAACAAAAAAATTAAAAAAAAAAATTCTTTGATGCATTTATAGATGAACTTATTGAGTAAAAAACAAAACAAAAAAATATTTTGAAAAACATATTTTGACATTACACTAAAAATAGGTGGATCATTTTAAAAATAGAGCGTCCTAATCATTAATATTTTTTTTAGAAAGAATATTCATTTAGCAAAAAAATTGCTGGGTGACCTGGAAAACTAACAATACAACATAGAACATAGAGTAGTAGATTGTATGTATATGTATGAAACATATTGTTAAATAAATAATTTTCTTTGGATAATATGAAGAAATTTAATATTTCAAGAGAGAGCGCTAAAATAAGTCAACTTAAATTCTATAGTTGAGCCATGTTTCGTACGAAATAACATGGCTTATTCCATCATAAACATTATTATTGAAGTTTTAAAAATTGGAATGTTACTTTGAGAAATTCATAGATGAGAGTTTTAAGGAATGAATCTTTTTGAAAGAGAATAATGAATTGAATTATTAGAGATTAAGAAAAGTGCAATTAAAAATAAATATATATAAAGGTAAAAGTTTAGGTCAAGATGAGATTCCTATTGAGATTTGGAGAGTTATGACTAATATTAGACTCGTTTTGCTGGTAAATATTTTCAATACAATTTAAGGACCAAGAAAAAACCAAATGATCGGAGTGGGACCCACAAGGGATTCAAATTCAAACTAATTGGAGGCAAAAGAGTAGGAGCAAAGGCAAGGGAGTAATTTGGCTTTAATAATTAATTGTATGCCTTAGTTAGGAGAGGGGGGTTAGGGTTAGGGTTATGCTTTGATTGTTTCTTTTGGGGGGTTCTCTTGAAGTTTCTTTGGCGTCTTGGCTCTAGACTCATTGTCTAAGAGATTGAGAGAGAAAGATCCTCCTCTCGAATTGAGGATCAACTGTATCATGCTTTGTGTTTGCTTTTGCTTTGAATCCTCTATTACAATCTATCGTTTTGAATTGATTTCATTAAGAATATCACATTATTTATGCTGTTTTTAACAATTATTGATAGGGTTGCTTGCGAAGTCAAGTATTTCCTCTTGGATTACTTCTGAACTCAAGTATTTCCTATCAGTTTTATACTAGGAAAATCCACTATGATTGTTGTGCTAAGCAATTAATGAAAAAAATAGAGACCAAATAAAGGATGAACATATGATTTTGATGTAATGCAAGTCACTAGTTAAGGAAAAACCATCCTACAAAAGCCAAATTGGCCAAATATTAATTATAATGAGTCAAAACAAGCCACACAAGGACTGAAATGGACCCATTTTCAATCCCTTTTAGGCTCATGTTTATTTTTGGTCGAAATTTCAGGTGAAGGAGAGGTGAAAAAAAAAAGGACTCCATACACACATCTTGTAACAATCCACGTATACAACTTGGATTTAAGGAACACTTAGTGGGCCTAAGAAATAATTAATTTCGTTCATCATAATTAATGATCAATTACAAGCCATCAATCTCAATTTATATTGATTATATGGATAAAATCAAAACTTAAATCCAAAATAATCCTATCCTAACTCCAAGTCTAATACTATTCAAATATTCAAACCTAAATTTATCCAAAGAGAATAATTTAACTTAACAAAATAAATCAAATAAAAATAATAATAATTTGGCCATTACTAAGTATGCTCTTAAACGATATCTAAAATAATTCAACTAAACTTCTTTGTAGCTTGAGTTGACTATTAATTAGTATATGAAAATTTGAAAGTTGGTGCAAAATAGATTTATACAAAATTATTTAACACCTCACGCACGCTAAATAGAGACAAATGGGAAATGAAGATTCATAAGCCTAGATAAGGCTAATGATGTTTTTGATAATAATAAAATCTCAAAGTTCAAGGCTTTACTCTGAAAAACTAGTGTTTGGTGTCATCAATAGAACAAAAATAACACATGTTTGAAGCTAGAATAAAGAAGACTTGGTCGGAAGAATCCTACCAACTCTTCAAGGGGAACTCCCTGAACATTCTCCAAGATTTATCACACAATAAGCGGTAACAGGGAGGTACCTCAAAAGGAAGCTCTCAAAAGAAATTCGGAAGAAATATAAGAAATATTGCTTGCAATCATGTAAATGTTTAAACAGTATGAGCAGCATCGTACAAGCCCAAACAGAATAAGTCCAAGTAAGTCAAATAGTCATCAGAGTTGATTTTCAAAACAAACCATACTATTCTTTACATTACTCTTACTTCGTTCTCTTAATCTGATAAATCCTGCTTGTGGAATTCTACAACCCTTTTTGTGAAACACTTTTGAGGGATTTAGCAGTAGTAGATATAAATGGCAATATTTCGTTTAGTAATATAATATGCCTATCCACAGCTTGCCTTGTATAGCATCAATGTTTTCAATAATCTAGTTGTTCACTCAGGGAAAAATGGTGCAACGGCACGCACCCCGCATTCTCACCTCATTTACCCCAACATAGATTAGAAATTAAATTAATCAGATTTCCCATGATGATCAGCATCAGGGTTAATTTAGTTATGGGGTTCCACATCCTATGAGCACAAGCTCTCATAGTTAATTACCCCCTCTTAATATATAGAAGAAAACTTTTGATTAAGGATGAATCAATGTTTAGACATGCATCAGTATTAAAAGTAGACCTGATCAAGATCACATGATTTCGTTATCCTGAGACTCAATCTACCAACACTAACAATCGTTGATCGTAATGTCCAGAGAATTTGATTAACAGTCATGGGTTGTCTCCTCTCAGAGATCCCAAGTAAACTGAAGTGGTGGATATGTGTGGATTTTAATTTTATTATGTTTTGGGATTTACATTTATTAGAATACCCAGTATTTAATTTGGTTTGTGATTTATGATTTCATTTAAAAGTTACCAAGTTGTTTGATTTAGATTTGAGGTCGGGGCTTATGGCTTTTAATAAAAGTAGTCCGTGTAGCGGGTCTTACAGCTTCCGTTGGAAGTAGCTCGTATAGGGGGCCTTGCGGCTTCACTTAGAAGTGACCCACATAGTTTAATAAGTTTTGAGAAGTGGCTCTAACTTTTTCTATTAGAAGTATCCCTTAGGTTTTAAAAGGTTAGGTCTTATTGCTTTCATTGAAAGTATCCTATATAGTTTAAAAGGTTGGGCCTTACTACTTTCATTGAAAGTAGCCCGTATAGTTTAAAAGGTTAGGTCTTACTACTTTCATTGAAAGTAGCACATAGGATTTAAAAGATTAGGTCTTATTGTTTTCATTGAAAGTAGCCTGTGCAGTAGGTCTCACTGTCTCTATTAGAAGTTGTCAAGGTTATCATAGATGTATTATTTATTCTAGGAAAGTTTTCCCTAACACCCTAATTAATGTGGGACTTATGGCCTCTATTAGTGGTGGCCCATATAGCGAGGCTACATGAGATTTAATTTAGCGAGGCTTTTAATAGTAGATACTTAGTTTTGTACTTTCACCAACTCGACAAATGTACTAGTGTTTTGTTTACAGTAGTGGCTTTTGACTCACAGTAGTAACTTTGCTTGTTTGTTTCAGCACTAGTTTTTCTTTCCAACACTAGTTTTTTTCAGTGCCGGTTTTCTCGTCATTTTGTACTAGTTTTGTTTTAATACCAGTTTTTTTTTACCACCTTGCATAGAGATTTGTTTACTTTCTTGCAAGTGTTCGTAGTTAGCAGTTGCTAGAGCTAGAACTTACAGATGCTGGTTTGCAAGGAGCTAGAGCTTGCACAGGCCTGGAGCTTACCATGAGAGTTTAGGTTTGCTTGGGTTGTTTTTTTAGTTTTATTTATGTTTTCAGTTTTCTTAATTTTAGGAGTTTGGATTTGGTTGATGTGCGTTGTACTTAGGGTTGATAGTGATTTTTTTTTGCGTTTTCTTATTTTATCAAAAAATGGAAAATTCATCGGAGTGGCCCTCCCCTCAATGTTTTCTACTTACATTTTAAATTTCTTAGGTTGATTTGTTTGATTTAAAATTTAAATTTAAAAATTAAAATTACCTGCTAAGCTCGCTAATTGAAATATATTTTAATATTATTCAATTAATTTAATTTAATTATTAATTAAATTTAACATTTGGTTGCTCAATTAATTTAATTAAAATTTTAAAGTTTAAATTCAATTAATTGTTTCATTAATTAAATTAAGTTTTAAATTAATTTGTTTAATTTTAATTAAATTTTAAATTAATTAAAGTTCTGATTTTAATTAAATTTTAAATTAATCAAAATCTTAAATTGGTTTTAAATTCTTCAATTAGTTAAACATTAGTTTAAAATTAAATTTTAGTTTTATTTTAAAATTAATTAATCAGTTATTAACTTAGGTTAATTAATTACCAAGTTAATTGAAAGCTTTAATTTTAAACTAATTAGTTTAATTAAATTAAAGTTGTTTGTTTAAATTAGGTTCTTTAATTAATTAGAGAATTTTAAATTGCTTATTTTAATTTTAATTAATAATTAAAAATTGATTTTAAAATGATTAATCAAATAAAAGCTCTCCGCAATTTTCCTAATTTCTTAAGGCGATTTCAACAGCCTCCCAACATCCCCTCCTAAACGAGGGGAGGTTGGGGAGAGGGAAATTTCCCTTTAGTTCCACTCGGTCGAATCAAATCGATAGCTGAAGGCTTCAGAAGAAAGAATGCAATCCCGGAATCGGCCATCATCCTTCAATATGCAATTATGACGCCTTTCCTTTCTTTATTGTTATTATTATTATTATTATTATCATCATTGATTTATAGATTACAAAAAATTGCTTTGGTCAAGCACGAATCTCGAGGCATATTTAAGTAGAAAACTTCTAAAATCAAATTCGGGATCATATGAACTTAGATTTCAGCAAACTTATAATCGAACTGAACGTCTCAGAAAGATAAATCCAACGACACCAAAATCAGT